CATAATGCTGTTGCCTTGTTTGGAGATGTAACCATGATGTTAAGTGTTAAGAGAAAAAGCTGTAGTGAGTCTTAGGCCTGTTTTTTCCCCTTTTCAGTTTTCATCACTGTGAAAAGGAGTAGGGTAATTTTCACTTTCATTTTACATTAAGCACAGTTTGTTGTGACCTTCAAATCTGGATGACAAGTTCATCTTAACTATAGCAAGTTGAAACAAGCCAGCATTGAACCACAGTTTATAAAACTGGTTTGTTTCAACTCTTAAAAGCTAAGGTTAATGTTAGGTTTGGATGACATGCTAATGTATGATTAGTCTTAAATGGGAGTGGGTTTCCTTGGGGTCAGGCAGGAGTTGGAGTGGGGAGGAGAAACACACGTCTGAGCTAAATTCTTCCTGTTATTTTTCAGTGCTGGCATTTCAAGTTCTTTTGCAAGTTTAATGGTACTTCATTAATACATTATCTTTATTGTGGGTGAAAAAATAAAGCTGTGGTGCCTTAAAGAGCCTTCCTCTATGTAACTGCAGGTGTTTTTAGGATTCTGGATGCACCATAGGTGATTTCATATGCGAAAATAGTTTCATGGAAGCCAGGTTCTGATTCTTAAAGACTTTAATCTCTGAGCATGAATAGAGAAGCTTGGATGGGACTGTAGGGCCACTGATCTCTGTTCTCAGTGTATGCCTATCCCATTATGCCCCAACTAATCCTTAGACTTCAGTTCTCATCAGCCCCAGCAGAGGTGGCCAGTGGCCAGGAATGTTGGTAGTTGGTACACAAAATGTTTGGCGGGTACGAGGTTGGAGAAGGCTGCTCTATCCTTTCATTCACAGACAATGCCCTTCATAGTTGAGGGGAAGGAGCGAGGAAGATCCCATGCCAAAGTGAGAGAAAAAAATGGGGAGACTGCACAGTCCATTTCTCTTTGCCTGTCTCTGGTACAGTTATTAGCATTCAGTGCTCAGCGTCCAAGTTACAATTAGTTGTCACTTGAACAATGGCATGGTTGCTAAAGTACATAATTATCTGGCTCCTTAGAGCAGCTCATAAGTTGTCACCATAACATAGCTGTTAAGGGACTGTGGATGATGGCTAATAGCTGCTGAGACATGTATTAATGCCACCAATAAGCTATGCTGGCTTCCCCTCGCCTGCTGAAGCTCACACCCCCTTGCCAGTGGGGCAGTAAGATCTGAGTGGGAACATTTTGGCTGGGTTGAGGCATTGCAGCAAGCAGTGGTGGTTTCCTAATGTGGTTGGTCAGTTGTTTCAAAAAGTCACCATGGTGACTTGGTCTTTCGAAACCCCAATCAGAAATAATGGTTTGTTCTATGGTTTCTCTTTACCACCATGGCTTGTTGTGTTGTCTGACCCGCAATCATGGTTTCCATGGTTCTGGTATGTAACTACCACAGGGTGTCCTGTTAAGAGCAGCAACAGCACAAACTAAAGAAGCATTTAGCTCAGACGTGTGTTTCCCCTCCCCACTCCAACTCCCGCCTGATCCCCAAGCAAACCCACTCCCATTTAAGACTAATTACACATTAGCATGTCATCCAGTCTGTGTGTGCAGACCAGTGAGGAAGAATTAAACAACAGGGAAGGGGTGGTGCACCTTGGGAATGAATATCAGGCTCAGTGGCTAATGGGATACATGACAGCACTGGGAGGACAGAACAGGGAGGATGAACAAGCTTTTTCCAAGACTTCTCCAAGAGAGCCCTTAAATGGCAAACGAGTTCCATGGAGCCATATAAGCACGCTCTAAACCTGCATGCATGGCTGTGTGCTCATGTGCAACAAATGCTGACGAGGTCTTCAGTGACGTTGTGAGGTTGGAAACAAATGACCTAGGAGGATTTTACCCTGTTTTAACCCAGAAGATGCATTTTCTTTATTACAGTATTACTAAATCATGAATCCAGAACAATTATAATCCTCTTTAAGGGCAATACAGTGAATAGTAATTTATTTCTGTAATTCTCTTGTCCCTGGTTCAGGACTCATGATTTACATGATTTTTATAGCTGGCCATGCTGCCTGCAAATTGATTTCTGTTTTAAGCAAGAGCCATTCTACAGATGGCACGTATAGCATATTACTTATCTCTACTTTATAATGCAGCTTTCAGGCTTTTTACCTTGTTAACAACAACTCCTTTTAGCCAGTAATGTTTTTATAGCTCTTCAGTAATGAGATCTATAAAAGTCCCATTTCAGGCACTTTTTGTGCATTCTCTTCTTCAATTATGAAGCGCCAAATTCCCAAGATGCACACTCACTTTGAATTTAGTAGTTCAATTGCTAGTCCAGTCTCCCCGGCCCCTTTTCAGCTCTCATACTGGATGGTTAGAATAGTCTGACCTCATATGCTCTATTTTCAGACTGACTCTAACTTGAAGAATTTGCCACCTTCCACCTGCCCCAACACTTTGTGTAAGAAAATGTAACTTTCCTTTGCATTACAATTCAATTAAAAAGCATTTAAAGGCAAGTTGAAAAAAAACATTGCTTGGTGCCAGAGTCTGGATATATTGAACTTTTGGGCCAGCAGCCAGTATATCGTGGGATGTTAGCCCAAGGCAGCCAATAATATAGTGGAGAGGAAATTAAAGCATCATGATCCTAATAGGCTCCATGCTGTTCTGAAATGGCCCAGGCACCTAGCAGTCTGCTGCATCCTTTCTCCTTGCTCACTCTGTTTGTTTAAGGGATAGATGTACTTTGGTGCAATAGTTTTGGTCCAGTGAGCAAAGAAGGCAGGTGCATGTCCAGTTCATTCTCTCCCTGGCACTATTCTCTGGACCAAAATAAGTGGCAGTTGACCAAGCAGCCTGCTGGAACATGGAATAGAAGGAACATGTCCAGGAAGGCCTTGTCACGGGGTGTGTGGGCCCTCGGGAATTGCTCAACCCTGCCTGCACTGTTTGGAAACACCACCATGGAATGTATGCATTTCCAGAATTAGAGTCTCTTCTGCTTCTGCCAAAAGCACAATTGCTTTAAATAGGAAAATACACTAAGTTAAGGAAGTCCAGGGAAAGATGGTGTCCCATTCCACCCTCTGCCTGCTGTCACCTGAGCCTCATGAAATGTCTCTCCACCGGGCCTGGGAGCTCTCCTGAACGGTGTGAGTGGGGGACAGGGGCTACTGGGAAGAGGGGATTGCTTCGAATCCAACTTGAATCCTAAGTAACTAGAGGAAGTTTGGAGAAGGAAGTTTTCTCATTTCATTTCAGGAGGGCCCTTCTGCTTGTCCAGAGAGGTTTTGTTGGGCTGTCAGTTAGAAGAGATAACGAGAGTCTTTCTTACTTCAAGATAACTAATGTGAAGATCCAAGCCTTTGTGCCATTCACTATTGTATATTTCCGTACATCTTATGGAGGTCTCTGTTGAGGGTCTTGCCGTTATTTGGATGCCAGGCATGCAAGCAGGCACAGGTCTTGAGTTGGCATGCTCTTGCATCATAGGGGAAAGTAGCAACAGTCCGGGGAAAGAGTAGCTGCATTTACTTGGGGACTGGCTCAGTGCCTGCGAGAGGGACCCCAAGCTCACAACCTCAGCAGTTAGCCCTTTAAATGCAGGTTGGCCTTAATTTTGAGCATGTGTATTCCTGTGCACACATACATACTTACTTCTTTCATCGGACTGCTATGGAATACCAAGTGGCAATATCTGAGTTTACTGGATATGGTGTTTTGTCTCTTTTCCATAAAGGATATTAAAAATACAAAAAAAATGAGAGGCTCGGTTTATAAGTAGCCTGTGAGATTCCCAAGGGATAGATTAAATGCAACCTTTAGTCAAAAAATGACTTCAGTTCGCTTAAAACCGGGAATCATACAACATGCTCTCTCTGTCTCCCTCCCTTTTCCCCATGACACCTGTACGTGAACCCTTTTCCCATACGTGGTGGTGCGCACATGCACAACCTCCCAGGCACACAAACACATGCAGACTAATGTGTGCACAGCGATTGGTCTTCTCCGCCCCAACTTCCATGAAAATCCCTCCCTGTCTAGGGAACCTATTAAGAGAAGATCCCACTTGTACGAATGAGATTTGATTTAGTAAGCTGCCTAGGAACTAGGGAAGACTCCTGGCCTCATTGCTAGAAGAGACTTCAGCAGCCACCGTCTCTATTCTGTGGTCGGCCCTTTGAGCATGGATGCCTGGTACTGAGTGGGTGATGTCTAGCAGAGAGGGAAAAGGGACTGCATAGAGAGTGTGGCCACATGAATCTTGTCTAGTAGATGCTCTAGCAGCTATGCGCAAAGTGCGTGCTGTAGGATTTCTGTCTCTCTGAGCAGGCACAAGATGGTGTTTCTAGGCCACCAACATCTCTTTGAAAACCCTGTCAAAAAAAGGGAGTGGGTATAGCTGTAGCCGATAACGCTGTGCTTGGGATCTGATCAGGACCCTGCTTGAATTTCATAAAGCTTTGGGCATGGGATGATCAACAGAAAGAAAAAATCTAATCGAGTCAGTAAAGGAAGGACAACCTATTTTATCCGTTGCTGCTATTCCACACAATCCCCTTACACACAGGCAGCAAGAGTTTTACAATTGCGGGTGCAGGAGAAAGTGATCTCAGATTCGCAAGCTGAATAGTGAAAATGCTCTGAAATTTAGCTGTTTTGGTAGACGTTCAAGCATCGTTGTGATAAGGTGTTCTACTTGGGAGCTGATAAAACCTAAGCTTTTGCTATCCATCTTTTTCTGAGCCAGCACCTTTGTAAAGATTTGTTATTGCATCAGAAGCCTGCATCACCCCAAAATGAGAAGCCTCAGAGAAATCACTGAAATCACTAGCTTTCTGACTCTCAGTCTGAAAATATTATTATTTTTAGATAGCAAGGAAAGCAACAAAATTACTAAAGCTAACTTATTGTGGGGAGACAGTAAAACGAAGTAATTTTTTGCATATGCCGTAGTTTACTTGTTCATTAATTACATTCTTCTCTCTCAATTTCAGTGGGATGTCCTCATCTTTGTGTTCATGTTGGCATCTTTGGCTTGGATACGCCATTGCAACAGCATCTTCCTTCGCTGCTGTGTGTAACAATTAAGTAAAGAATGAGGAGGTTTGCCTACTGCAAGGTGGTTCTTGCCACTTCTCTGATGTGGGTGCTTGTGGACGTCTTCCTGCTCTTATACTTCAGTGAATGTAACAAATGTGACGACAAGAAAGAGAGATCCCTGCTGCCTGCTCTAAGAGGTAAACCGCAGTTCAGCATGTTGTTTAGGAGTCTGTGTGTCCACAGTTCCAGGTTATTTGTGCTTTAAATATGCTCTGTTGTGGTCATTCATCTGTGCTATCAAGTGTGGTTGGCGTCTGAGTATATTGATCCTTAGATAACCGGTCAAGAATGTCAGACCTATGTGACAAAGTGTTTTGGCTGCTGCTGTTTGCCGACTGGCCCGGTATGATTGATGAAGCCCCGGTTTGGCATGGCACGTGGCACTTCCAGTTTGCATGATCGACCCTCAGTTAGCCTATTGTACATCAATTTGTATTGTGCAAACCAAAACACTGTGGGCAAACTGAAGAACTAATGGTGGGTTAAATGTGGGTTCTTTAACCCACAATTAACCAATAGTGTCTGAGTTTGCACATCACATATGAACAAAAAATGGGCTGATGGGAGGCAGATCACTCAAGGTGCCATGGTGTGTGCTGAGCATGCTCTGTGGCAAATCATGCTTATAGTAGTCTTTCTCTCTCTCTTTTTAACATTGAATTTCTATCCATATGCCAGAAGGCTTAACAAGACATATGGGTAGACTTCCATCTAAAGCGCCTCTGTGGGAATGGGCAGCAGATGGGCCTACCCATCCCTGCCCCAAGCTACACCCTGAATAATTTTTAAATGGTGCTCTGTAGCACCTACAGAATGCTGAAAGGGTCCAACTGAGATTGCAAACAAACTAGAGCCCTTTTAGTACTGCTGAGCTGCAGAGTAGTTTGCTACCAAATTTTGGCAGTTAACCTGTGATTCTTCGTTAGTTGTTTCACGTTTTCCCCAGTGTGCTCATGAGAGAGGATGGCTCATTGACCTCCTCTAGTTGTGTGCCATGTCGGACTGCCTAGCAGGATAGTCAGAGTTCGTAAGATTCCAAACCGGCAAGTCATCAAGTTGTTTAAGTCTCAATTTGGGCATTTACTAATGAACAACTGGAGATAAAATGTGTAATCCTTGTTCACTCAATTACTTAATCCTTGTTAATGTAATATTTTTCATCACAAGGCAAGTATGTTTCTACTACTTAAAAAATTGCATAGAAACAATTTTTGTTCAAAAGATTCCCCCTTTCCCCACAGTGACTCTCACAAGTTACTGGCTTTAATACTGTTGTTTTGAAAATGGCATATTTTAAAACACTTCAAGTTCTAGAAAGTGGCATATGGACTGGAGTAATTCACCTCTTGTAACAATTTAGTTAACATGAATTATTTTTAGAATGCTATTAAACCATTCATCTGCAAAAGTGAGTGCTGGCCTAGTAGCAGGGTAAACACTGTTGAATTCTTAAGTATCAGGAATTCTGAATGGCTCCTATAAAACACAAAGAACAAATGGTAATTAGGAAATAACTTTAATCAATGAAGAGAAAGGGTAATTGGACAAGTCACAAGTTAAAGAGGAAGTAAGACTTTATTAATAAATTAGTCAGGATCAATTGTTCTTCCCAGCTCCTAATACAGAGTTTATAAAAAGGAGGCAAAGTAGTTTGAAGCCTCTAATGGGATTAAGAAAAGTCACCTTTAACTGGCCTCAGTTAACTGCTGCATTTATAATAATGCCCTTGAAGCATATACAGGCGAAGGAGACTGCAATGGTCCATCTGTTTTATAATAAATGTTCACTTCAGTTGATTTTCTGATTTGTAGGCCAAACCTGAGAATAAATCAGGCCTCCCTACCATTTTGTATTGTACGTAGCTGCATCAAGTTGCTGTCTCTGCTAAAAGCTGAAGTGCCTGATAGAGCGTTTCAGCATGGAATGATCTGTTTGTCATCTCCTGAAATGATCTGGTCTGCTTGGTTGCCAAAGGCAAGAAAAGCCTGATTCAGCACAAAAATCTGGCTTCTGGGGAAGGCCAGGGAATAACCAGCTTGGTGTGTCTGTCTTTTGAGTCTCTTTAAAACTGATTTTTAGTAGTGCATTGAAATTATGAGTACCTGAGACTCTAGTCCTATACTCACTTACCTGGAACTAAGCCTCATTGAGTTCAATGGGCTTTACATCTGACTTGAAACATGCAGGATTGCATTGTAATAGATTTGAATATTCATTGCTGCCGTAATGGAAAAGGCCTTCTTTAAACTAGCACATAGATTCTAATTTAACACAGATCCCTTTACTAAATAATTTATTTCCACGGATTCAGTACTGGTATTTAAGCAGGGTAGTTCCTGTTTCATTCTGCTAGCAAGCGTTATGCTTTGGTGGTGGCGGTAGTTTCCGCTGCCAGCCTTCAGTGGTTTTCTCGTCCACTGTGCCAGTGGGCACACCGCTCTCCCCAGACCAGGCAGGTGCTTTCTTCCATCTGTTACTACTGCAGAAATAGGATTGTGTCTTAGAGGGCCGATATGTTTGGGTTGCCAACTCTCTGAAGTTTGTTCCTCTTCAGTACACACTTTGATACATGCCAGTGTGTGGTGCTTGTGTTGACAAACTCCTTCAAGGTGTTTCATAAAAATTTGGGATTTATACCACAGGAATCTAGGGAGCAACCTCATGCTGACGTAAGTGCTGTTCCATTGAGCTAGGTATGGTCTGTACCAATGAACCTGTGCCTCACCATGGTGCTGTGCCCCTCTTGCTCAAGCAAGCACGCACACGTGTACGCACACATGCAAGCATTTTCTTACCACTGTTGCTGCTGGAAACCCGATGCCAAGGAGTTGTTTAGTGTGTTGGCATTCTGGCCCCACCACACAAGGGTTTGGGCAGGGTACTTATCCTTTGGCTTGCTGCGCATGGCAGTCGTCCTTTGGCAGTCCCCATATAGCTACCAGTTATGCCCTGACCCAAACAATGTGTGTGCAAAGGGGGAATGGCTCTCTCGGGTTTTAGGCAAGAGCCCTTGGGCTGTGCCTGGGAGTTCCTGCATGGAAAACAGGTGCCTCACCAGTGAACCGTGGCTCTTCCCTCCTAATTATGTCCCTTAGAGATTTATAATTTGGGATAATTAAATCTACTGACTGTTGTATTGTGATCTGGCATTATTGTGATTTTTGATAGTTACTATGTATTCTACAAATTGCACCAAAGTTGAACCATTCATGGAATATATGCCATTTTATACTAGAACTTTATCCTTAGTTACACACACGCTTTAATATTAATGACCACTTCTTGCCTGCCAGTTGCTGCTATCACTGCAATTCTCAGAAATCTTGATGTGTCTTTTTAAAAGTAAGCCCTTTTGAGTACAGAGGTGCTTACTCTAAGGCATGTGGGTATTTATTTTCTTTATTTTCTTTCATTTGTATCCTGTCCTTCCACACAAGCGCTCAGGGTATTATACACACTTACTTACAAGTTCGCCCCATTGTTCAGCTGAACCTACTTTTAACTAAATGTGTGTAGGGTTAAGTGTTTTGATTTGCTTCAATGATGACAGATTGGAATCTGTTTGGACTTGGTTTTAAAAGCTGCCAGTATTTTTTAAGAGAGGGGAAGGTTTTTATATAGGGATGCTTTTTATCTATTAAGAAATATCATTGCTTCCTGAGTGCCATGAATGGGTGACATGTTGTGTAGAAATAGTATTTGACAATTTCTTTCAGTGTACAGTAACGTAAAATTCAAATTGCTAATGTATGCCTGCTTGTGAAGAGAAATGAGATGCATGAATGAAACATTTGGAAACTGTATTGTGTTTGGGGCTGTGGCCAAGTTTAGAAAATGAAGCAATCATTTTAGTGATTTCCAAATAAGCATGTTCGCTCCTCTAGCCACTATATGATCTGAGCTCTTTAGATTATCTACAGTGGCAAGTATCTTCCATGACATGCTATTTGAATAGAGATGAAATTAAACATATTTATATGATTCAGATATCCTGACACAAATTCCTTGGTAAATAGAATTTCAAAATAGTAATTTCGTTTTAGTGAGAAAAAATGACACAGGTCTTACTTGGCTCCAGGACTGATACACAGATCACTGTTGTGTGGGATTTCACTGAAGGAAAATAGCTGTCAGGTAGTTTGCCTTTTATGCATTATGTCAGTTTCAGGGCTTAATGTGCATTTTTGTCTATTCCTCAGATGCACTGATGTTGCTCAATGAAAGTTAATCTATGAAAGAAGTCTCTGGCTAGACTAGCCTGTTTTTTGGTAGGGCGTGCATGCAATGACATGGGTGAAGCCTTGGAGCTAGTACCAAAATGGTTTAAAATAGGTAAAAACCTCCTTCTCTCTTTTACATTTCTAGCACATCTGGTCCTTATTGTTGTACTTCTCATATACCCCTGTACCCACATGTTTAGACAATATACTTTTGAAGAAGTAGCTATTGTATATTGCTCTCCCTGTTCCCAAAAAGAATTCCATATTCCTTTTAGACACCTCCAATTGAAGTTCCTTTTTCAGCATATTGGGGGCGGCATAGAAATGTTTTAAATAAATAAATAAAATAAATAAATATTGATACTTCCTGTTTGTTCATTATGATATTTGATAACATAGCAAATACCAGAAAAAATGGCCTTTTTTGGTTAGCCAAATCATATTTATTGCAACTGAATAAGTGCAACTGAGATTGCTGCTCCCCGTCCCCCCGGTCCGGTCTTGTTAAAATACCTACAATGGAAATATGCATGAATATTAATGAAATGTTTCACTGTTTCAGAAATGCCTTGAATGAGGGCATCTTCAGATAAACGCCACAGATTTGTCAGACTTCAGTAAAACATGTGGGGCAAACAATGCTTGAAAGCAAACATGGTTTGCAAGACAGAGTATGGACCCCCTCTCCCTGCCTTGAGTTCCACCTGCCGTGCGATGAGCTGAGCGGAAGGACATATGACCCAATCGCAAGATATGTTCCCAAAGAAAAGCCTGAAAATCTTGGCCTGCTTGCTGTAAGGAATAGGCTCTTTTTAGAAACACCTCGATCTAGAAAAGCAGTGATACTTTCTGTACCAGTCTGGATAAATCGACTTGCATTCCAGTGCTTGCTTGCAGGTGTACGTTCTTCATGTTGA